TCACATTCACAGTGTGATTTGTTTCAACTAGGTGTGAAACCACTGCACTAGTGAGTAACTCAATCGTTCCTGGATAAATCATGAGGTTATTTTCTCTTTCCCGATACATTTGTTTGCGTTTTTTTTTGGTTGAATACTGATTTATACATAAATAGCGTAATATTTATTCTGATGTATTTGGCATGACTACGAATCACTGAAAACGAGCTTGTTCTCCACTCCATGTTCTATTTGAAAATGTGCTCTGTGGGACTGTTTGGACAATTAACTTATTCCCTTAATTATGTCCGTTTAAGTGCAAAATGTCTGCTAAACCATGATTGTTTTTGCACAGACGGTTTACATAATTGTTCGAAATGATGTACTGAATAAAAGGTAGACTCTTGTTCTATCCTTGTAGGCATTCCAGTTCTGAAAGGGTTTTCGTATTTTCCGTAAATTGAGGCTGGTCCAGACTACTGTTGCACTGGCATTTCTCATTTCATGGAATCAATCGAGGTCCTGTTCTGTGTTTGCCCCTCTATCTTTGAGTTGATTACTGCTAAGACCGTTGGTTTGAAACACATCACTATCCGTTTGTTTGTTAGTTAGGTGAATGTATTGATTTCCAATCAAATGACTATCCCGACGCAAATGAACAAGACAATAACAGGACATTCGAATAGTAATCCCAAATTGTTCGAACTGGTGCTGAACTGGCATCACTCGAGAAAAGGTGGATAACGAAATTCAAGTGCTTGGAATAGTAGAATATTGCTTGTTTAAGGGTTCGTTCGGGTGTGGATGGAAAACGTTTGCTGCTCTCTTGAATTCACATAAAGAGAATACATATTTGTCCTGTATGCTTTCTGGCACATTGCATAAACAAAGTGAACGAAACATTTAGAATTTAGTGTTCGATTTAAACTTTATACACTTTGTGAAACCTTCAGGGCCAGCAAATTTCGAATAATATTACTTTCCCTGAATGATGGCAATCTTTGTGATGACAGGCAAAGAGCACTGGACATCTGCTTCTTCATGTTTGGGATTAGTCAGTAGTGCCCACTTTTTGTGTCCCTGTCAGGACTCGAACAGCAAAAATTCGGATTGGGACTTTAAACCCCTACCCCTTAGCTACTCTCAAGGTCTCGACCTCATCTGGTCCAGACAACTTAAGTCCCACCCTTTTTAAACATGGTGCTCTGCCACTGTCTCACAATTTTGCACACAGGCAATCTTTCATTCGAACTCAGAACCATTCCGGATTGTTGGCACCCAATGAGAATTACTCCTATCTCCAAAGGAATGTCAATGGCCCATTGCTCTCACTACTGGTTTCAAATTGATGGAACGATCATTTCTGCAACGTCGTCAGTTATCCCTTACTGATCAGTTTGCATAAAAACATAACCGCTCTACATTAGATGCCGTTACTTCTCTAGTTCTCTAGTTCTTCCCTAGTTCATTTCATTTGTAAGTCCCGTGACAATAAGGCCAAATATGTGCACTGTGCATTTCTGGACTATTCTTCCGCTTTCGACTCGGTGCCTCGTTCTCTTTTACTTAACAAGCTCCAATCGTTTGACTATCACACTTCTCTTCTTGAATGTCCTGCTGATTGCTTTCCGCGAAGATATCAGTATGGTAAATTGGGAAGAAGGCAGTCAACTACATCACTCAATAGCTCGGGTGTACTTCCGAAGCACACAAGAGAGATGGAGGAGTGCTGGGGGTAGAGATTAACAGAGGGAGGCTGGGACAAAAAGAGGTGTGTACGGTGTAGAATGTTTTTTGCGGGATAAAAAAGCATCAGAGTACATAATCGTAAGAGCAAGACGGTTCATAGTTGTATGTGTTGCAGGCTGTTGTACTACTCAGTTTCCCGGTCCAGATCGGGCCTTTGCGCATCCAAGCGCGGACTGCAAGGCAGCAGCGATATTCCAGATGAGCCAGTGGCCAGTAGTTGGTTCATTCGCCTATTCTGGAAAACCTTGTCGAGCAATGGATCTCGACATGTAGCAATGACCATATTTAGTGGCTGGCCACACTCGCCACGTCACAGCGCTGTCCACAAATATATCTGATGTTTTGTGCGGAGAACCCTTGACAAGGGTAAACCCACCACATCCTTGAGCGCTGCCGCTGATCGTCCGCGACCGCTTATTCGGAGGGCCAGAGCCCACCTTATTCACGGTTAGCCGGGAGATGACGGCCGTTCCCCTATCCGCGACCTGGGGACGCGCTCGGTAGCATACAGCAATGCTCTCCCGAGATATAACACAGTATGGTCGATGATCATCACCTTGTGCGAATGGCTCAATCGCTTTAGAGTAATAGGCTTGGATTGGACCATTCGACTGTTCAGAGGCACCAGACCTTTTTGATGGTCATGGGTGTGCGTTTCACTGCTTCGGAGACCGTTGATTCACCGCGAGGTAAATGCATTCAAATGCAATGGAAATTTTTGTGATAACCAACAAAGAGCACAGGACAGCTGTTTCGTCCTGTTTGGGACTAATCAGCAGTGCACACCTTTTGTGTCCATCTCAGGACTCGGACCGCGATTATTCGGGTCGGGACTTCAAATCCGAAACCCTTGACCTCTATTATCGATTAGTGGGGAATCAACAATAGACGAATGAGTGAAACCAACATTCAAGGTTATTAGGAGTGTTTAGTGCCTCTGAGCAACCGAATGGGCAGATCAAAACTGAATAATGTTCAGAAGAACCTTAGGTATTCAGCCAATAGGATAAGAATAATTAGTTGACGTTTTATTATTGTTAACGCTTTTTATGAAACCAATAATAATTTCAGAAATACTTTTAAGTTTGATAGAAATGAACAAAAATTACGCATCTTTGAATCTTTTATTTGTACAATATCAGTAGAGCTGTTTCATGACTAAAGTCTAGCAAATCTTCAAGTAAACGTCAATATCTGAATGGAGTTTGATAGTTGAACGTTTACCCAATTGGGTATTAATCAGGTGTTCTCTAGCCAGTGAAAATAGTATTCACTCAATTAGTTTCAGAATAAAAGATTTCAACCAGTTGATGAAAGGACCAGAGAGAAGTACCAAAATACTGATTTTTCCTAAGGGAACAAAGCGCGAGCAATTGCTTTCTGCGAACTTAATGGGGGTATCTCCGAGCGTTGATTTATGACTGGGATGTTCACCACAAACACACAGTTAATTACAAGCTTTAGTTATAATTTCCGATTTAATCATACTTATTCAGACACGACAACAACAGAAAAACCACTTATTCACATTTTCAGAGAAGTCCCAGATTCCACCCAAAAACGGAATAGGTTAAGTGCAAAAGGGCTTTGACAAATTTACAATAAACTTCATAATTCTGATCTGAGCGGAACGCAGAATCGGATTTTTCGGGATCAGAAAACGTTGATCTATTTCCATGTGTACTCATTTTTTTAAGTGGAATCAGTATTTTCCTGTGGTGAGCTTATGACATAGGGCCACCCAAGTGGCTTAACATTACAGTTTCGGGACTACGAAAAACAGACCAGTGGTATCAACCGATTAGAATGCATCCGGTCCAAACAGAAGCTCTGATAAACAAAATACAAGCATGCGATTAGTAAAGGTCTGTTTGATTAATGATATTTCTTGGCACATATAATGTATTGTCATTGGTTTGTTTCAATAAACTGAACCACCACTTATGCGATCTTCTTGAAGCATAGTTCGTGATCCTATTGTATTTCAATCACCACAGTTATTCACTAGTGAAAATCTCTGGAGGTTTCGTACAACCGTTTCAGTCTTGTTGAGAACCATCGACAGTGCAAACGTCTGCCA